GCCAAGCGCCAAGGCATCGCGTCCCGTTGAGGCGAAGGGAGTCGCTAGCAGAGCAGTACCCTGGAACCTTCCTTGTGATCGAAGTCACCCAATCACCTCGGTGTATGTGACCTTCTAACTAAGTGGTTAGCTATCGAGATCACTTGCGTTTTCACATGCCAGTACATAGCTAGCTGTAGGCCGGCCCTATTTATAGGCACGGGGTGTACGCTAGCCGGCCCCCGCGCACACAGTAACAACTCCACCACCACCACCACACCATAGGTCACAAGAAAAACGCCGCCCTCGATCGAGATCATGCGTGGTTGGTTTTGCGGCGGACGCCAGAGGCCGGCCAAACGGGGGCGAACCGGCCGGCCGGCTAGCTGGGCCGACCAAATGTCCAGGTAAAAAGCAGCCCGCCATGAAAATATACATACTACAGCTTATTCCTTGCATTTACCCGAGGATAATGTTCGTACATACTTCCCGTGCATTTACCGGAAAGGAAAATACGGCCTAGATCTTCTTTTCAGCTGGCTAGCTGCTTAATGGGCAGGGCTGTCGAGATCACAACGCTGTTGCACTGTTGCTTCACTGTTCTCTGAATACGGTGTGCAGTGCACTGCAGACTAGTTTTACAAAGGAAAAAAGGAAAAAGATAGGCAGATTAGTTAGCGGCTGCACTGTTGCACGCATGCTCGGAGATAACTTTACTTCATTTTCTTATCATCGCTTACAACTGTTGACTGGACCGAGGACGAGGACACTCTAGCTAGAGGCGGCGCCTCGGTGTCGATCGCCTATTCATTCATCTCCCTATCCATGAGACGATCCACTCCCTGCAAGTAGTGGTGTGTTCTTTTTTCTTTTTGCGAGAAGTGGTGTGTTCAGCTAGCAGCTGCAAGGTTAATTAGTTTTCAGGGCAAGTGGTTGCAAGGCGCCATCCAATATGCACGTTAGTCCGGATCTTTTTATCCCGGAATAGGAAGGTTGCCTGAATCTTTACTAAAATCTTGTGATGTCAGGGCCGGGGTGTCAAGTTCGTCAGTCATGGGTCGATCTGTGTGCGCCTCATGCAAGTGCAGGGCAGGGACTGTCGAGGTCGCGCGCCTGTGAGCGGTTCACGGGATGCGCAGAGGCCGCGTGACGTATCGATCGATCGACCTCGCCGTGACAGAGCTCCGTCGCCTAACCTCATCTCCGGCAAAGGCAGGATCACCGGCGCTTTTCCCCCGCTTCTTTTCTCAGGCCCTCCCCCTTTTCGATCGAGCCGGTGATACGTAGTACTTCCTCCGTCCGGAAATACTTGTCGAAGAAATGCATAAAAATGGATGTATCTAGAACTAAAATATGTCTAGATACATCCATTCCTTCGACAAGTATTTTCGGATGAAGGGAGTACGTGCGAATACGATAGGAGGGCATAGGTACGTCATTTGTTCGTAGGGTACTACTCCCTCCGTCTCATATTAAGTGTCTCAAATGGATGAGATGGTTTGAATCGATTAGTGGTATGGATCGAGTTCAAGGGTGGTGCCATTTCTTGTGATTTTTCTTCTGCATTCTGCACCACCGTGCGTGCGTACGTACGTACGTACCAGCGTCTGTCCTCTGTATGTATTCTATAAATGACAATAGATCGAAGGAATGTGTGCGTGCCAAGATGTAGGACACTGCAAGCATTTATCTAGTGGCATGCACCAACTGAGGTCTACTGACGAGGTCCTGTACAGTGTGAAACGTAGGGACTTCACACCAGTTACGCTTCCGCTGTGATGTTCTGGGAAGCAACTGATAAATCCAATAATGATTCAGGGGGTCGGGTATCAGATCATGGGACGCAGCTCCTCTGACGTACGGCGCACTCGTTGACGTGTGGACCCGGACCCACGCGTCAGTGGCCCAACGTCAGGTGGCCGTACGTCAGGGGATCCAGCTCCCAGATCATGCATGTTTGCCGAGCTAACTTTAATGTGTGCAATCTATATATAGCATCTACCTAGGAGCCGAGGACCATGCTACAGTAGTTAGACATGGGAAGTCTCTCTGGTTCCGACGTGACAAGCGTGATCGCAGCTTAATTTTGTGGTCCATGTCTCCATGACTTCTTTACAGAAAATATGTCCCCTTTTGTAAAGAAATATAAGTGTGTTAGTAGTGATCTAAACGCTCTTATATTTCTATATGGAGGGAGTAGTATATTTAGAAGTGTCAACAAAATAGTTTAGTATGTGGCTAGGTGCGATTCAACTTTGGCAACACTCCAAATATACAATTCCTAGTTATTACCAGACTATCATCATTAGTCCAAGTGTTATTTTCCGAGGATTAGGCTATCATTAGAGAATAGTTGCGAAGTGGAGAAGTCACATGCACAGATATACTTTTGGAAGCACATGGACATCCAAAAAAGTTCAGAAAAAGGCAAAACCACTTCCAAAAAAGCTTACAATGTTTCGAGTGACAGCCCATGGTATCTTTGAGTTGTTGTCCTAAATGTTGCTATCTAGGTGGATCCGGCCGCGAGATATTTTAGATATTTTAGTCCCTGTAGTAATCAAGGCTACATTGTTTGAAGCCGATAGTCAAGAACAAACGGAAATCTAGTAAAATTTAGAAAGACATGGGACATGCACAAAATATTTCCTTTAGGTTACCTATATTTGTTGTGGTCATCTGTGGAACCTTTTCTTGCACAAATATAAAAGCATCGAGAAATGTCACGAAGTGTACCATGCAATAGATACAAATAACATGAACCTACATGACAACAATAAAGATGTTTCAGCGACATACTCATGTTTTAACGTACGAAACATATCATGAACATATATAAAGGTGGGAAGGACCACCGGTGGCACTCCGCCACCCGCGGCATAGACGAGAAGTTTCATCAAATACAGAGACAAGGGTCATGCACCAAACCTTTCATTTGAGTGACGTATATTTACTGCAGTCATCTGCAGAACCTTTTCTTGCGCAGGTATAAAGCATAGAAAATGTTCCCGAGATGTACCATGTGATAGATACAAATAATATGAACGTACATGACTACAATAAAGATATCTCAGCGACATAACTCATGTTTTAGCGTACGAAACATATCATGAACATATATAAAGGTGGGAAGGACCACCTGTGCCACTCCGCCACCCGCGGCATAGATGGGAAGTTTCATCAAATACAGAGACAAAGGTCATGCACCAAACCTTTCATTTGAGTGACGTATATTTGCTGCAGTCATCTGCATAACCTTTTCTTGCGCAAGTATAAAGCATAGAAAATGTTCACAAGATGTACCATGTGATAGATACAAATAACATGAACGTACATGACTACAATAAGGATGTCTCAACAATATAGCTCATATTTTACCATACGAAATATCTATACCACTATATAGTGTACGAGTTTTGAATGGATCTAGAACAGCAATCCTGGTCGTTGGTGCTATCAATCTAACGGTTGGGAGCAGTGGGATTCGCATGAACAGTGGCTGCTCCAAACCTATGTCTGCTATTTCTAGAATTCGCTGTGTGACCCACCATCTGACCACACTCTGGATCTTTCCACTATGGGCTGGACAACAGACACACTTGCTCCTCTAAATTATTTAATTCGTACTACCTGCCTACATGCATGCAACAGCTACCTGCATGCATCGACCGCTTCACGAGAGACTAGCATGCGAGCCTAGCATTGCAGTGTTGTATGCATGGTAAACTTTTCCATTTTCTTATTATTTGAAACAAGTAGTAAGGTACCTAGGATAATTAGAATGAGAAAAAATGTGCAAATAACCTATGAAAGAGAACGTTTTGACTCATTTTATTTTCTTAGCTGACATGAGCTTGAGAAGGTGAAAATTTATTATTAATCGTACTTCTTATTTTCACATTATTTTTCTCAAAAAAAGAGCTTTAGTATGAGTCCAATAAATTGAAGGACTTCCTAAGCAATTTTTATATATATAAAAGGGCTATATCTAATGTTTTATATAAAGAAAATCATCATACTATTTTTTTTTGGGAATAGTTGTTATCCAGCCTTGCGAAGCCTAAAAATGATTCCACAAATGCCTATTGGAAATCTCCATTTGAAGCTTCTATGAAAAATTTACCATAATATATGTGTGCTTTAGTTTTTTACACTAATTTAGTACCATGCTTATACGTAATCAGCTGACGTGCAAAGCACGTACAAATTACTAGTATCATGAACGTATATAAAGGTGGGCAGGACCACCAGTGCCACTCCGCCACCGGCGTATAGATGGGAGATTTTGTCAAATCCAGATAGATAAGGGTCCTGTGCCAAACCTTTTATTTGAGTGACATATATTTGCTGCGGTCATCCGCGGAATATTTTCTATGCACAAATATTTAAACATGAAGAAAATCGACGAGAAGTATCATGTGATGGATACAGATATATCATCACTACACATTACTTCTATTTTAACGTACGGAACATATATAATGGCATTGAGAAGGTTCAAGAGATACACCATATAATACATATATTTTTATACCCCAAAAATAACTGCACAATGAATAAATAAAAATAGCTGTTTTTTCTTTTTCTTTTTTGCAACATGGAGGCAGAAGAATAAGATGCAAGGAAATGAGGTGCTTCTGTGTTGCTAAACCCAACCAATGAGAAAACATAAAGCGGTCCGCGCAAAAGAAGCATAAAACCGTCCTGGGAGAAAACTGGCAAGATATATACTACTAATGCGATGTTGGAACTGAGGACGCCAAACACATGTTGTTTGTTTGTCAGAAAGCAAGAGAAGTGTGGAGACTATTGGGTGTCGAGGAAGCCATTAACAATGCACTGAAAGTTAATTTGGCAGGTGAGGCAATTCTTGAGTTTCTACTTATGCAACCGGCCCAAGAAGTTGTGGTGCTTGGTATGGGAAACTTCACTGAAGTTATAGCTATCGGGTCTTGGTACCTAAGATGGGAAAGAAGAATATGGTACACCGGGAGGAGACACAATAGCTGAAATATATTGCTATGGCTACAAGACCTTTGGTTGCGAATTTCTCTACAGCTAGTAGCCCTTGTGCAAAGATCAAACGCCATGGATGGGTGAAACCAAAGAGAGGCTATGACAAGTTAAATGTTGATGGATCTTTTGATCCTGATTTGCTTGAAGGGGCATATGGAGCTGTTTTGAGGGACTCTACTAGTAAATTTATTGGCGCTGGAAATGGTAAACTTGAATGGTGTGGAGATGTGCTGCTCATGACTGAAGCAACAACCCTACGACTTGGTCTTAATCTGGCTGCAACGTTGGGGTGTAACCGTTTGAAAGTTAACTCTGATAATGATGAGGTGAGTGAGACGATTATTAATGGCGGGTGGTCATATGGATTGGCAACTGCAATATTTGATGATTGTTATCATAGTGCATGTGACTCCTCTCATGTCATTTTTTAGCATACACCTAGAGAAACTAATCAGGTGGCTTCATGAGCTAGCTAGTCTCGCTAGACACGGGTCATGTAGTGCGTGGATAGAAGAACCACCAGATGATATTGTCAGCCTACTTTTGTAAACGATGCTATGTTTTTTTGAGAGTACGCAAAACGCGTACAATTGATTTATAGAAAGCAGAGGTTTTATACAAGAGCTACAATTGATGGCCATCCACAGACGGATAACACATCGAAAGACACCACTCCAACACAAACACACTACTCCTCAATTAGATGTTGTACTCCTCTCCCTCCTGCTTGGGCCCAACGCAGGAGCTCCTGATGAATCAGCGCAGCAGTACCCCATTCGCTAGCAATGGCTCGTGACGCAAATACCCTACCATTTTTCTGCTTCCACAAGTTCCACCAAATAGTCTACTTTTGTAAACGATGCTATGTTGATTACCATGCAATAAAGGTGTTTTAAACGTAAAAAAAGGGGTTTCCACTTTTTTTTAGTCTAAACACGCTTTATTTATTACTCAAACAAGTTCATAGGAATACAAGAGATGTTTGGAGGGTGTAACAGCCACACATGGCGCCCAAAATCCAAACCGAAAGCATGCTTAGCGAGGCTATGTGCCTCAATATTGGTGGCTCTACCTTCAAAGATGAAGGTGCAACTATCAAAACTAGTCGAAGTTTCCACAATCTCCCTGGTGGTGCTGCCGTAGGCTCCCCCGGTGCGATTCTTGATATCTTTCACTACCCCTTGGCAGTCGCCGGCGATGAGGATTCGAGCAAGGCCCAGGTCCGCTGCCAGCGCGAGCGCCTCGCGGCATGCCAGTGCTTCTAGCGTCGCCGGATCCGTTACTCCATGTATCTTGATAACCGAAGCACCCAAAAAGCTGCCCGATGAGTTTCTGCATAGGGCACTAAACAAACCAAAATTACCATCTCTGGATACAGCTCCATCAACCCGGATTTTAGCAATTCCTTCAGGAGGAGGGATCCATCTTGGCAGTGTAGGAACCACCATCGGTGCTCCAGTAGTTGCTTTCTTCGGTTTGCATTCGTCAAGCTCTCGGACAAACTTCAAGATGAAGTGGTATGTTGATAGAGGGCTCTGAAAAATATTTTCATGTAGCGCCTGTCGTCGTGCAAACCAAAGTGCCCATAGGGTTGTGACTACCAAGATGAACTCTTGCGGAGAGAGCATGTCCTGGATCGAAAAAAGCCATCGTTTTGCGTCCGGTTCCGTGGTGTTATTTAGGGCTTCCACGAGATCTTGATCATGCAGCGCCCAAACGCACCTGGCGACCGTACAATGGAGCAACGAGTGTTGCCATGAGTCCTCGGCTCCACAGAGGACGCAGCATGTAGTTGTGGACATATTACGATGAAGTAGCACGTCCGCAGTCGGGATTGATTGTTGAGCCAGCCTCCACAGAAAGATTTTCAATTTTGGAGGAACATTCACTTTTCACAGTGCATTCCAAGACTGTTTTTCACTGTCCAAATTCGACGAAGCAGCCCTCCCTTCGAGCCACGCCTCTCTCGCCAGCTTAGTTTCAACTAGCATGCGATAGGAGGAACGAACTAAGAACACCCCGCTTCTTTCGGGAGCAACTAATTAACGAGCACTCCTTCGGGAGCCTCGCAACGATCAGCGTCACTTGGCACGCTCTCAGCCATTCGCCACGTGTCACGCTCTGGGCGCTCCCTCCGGATTTTGTTTTTTCTATTTTTCCGCACGCGTTTTCGGCTTTTTAAACGGTTTTTTTCTGGGTTTTTTTTGACGTTTTGGTTTTCTACCGGTCTTCCCTAGCTTTTCGATCAAATTTTCTTTTTCGAAAAAATTAAAATTTTTGTGCAAAAAAACACATTTTTTCGCGAGAGTCACGGTTTTGCTTTTGCGAGAGGCACGGTTGTGCTTTCGCGAGGCACGGGCGTGCCTTTTTCGGAAAGGGAAAAATGTTTTTTCTATTTTTTTTCTTTCGCGAGAGGCACGGTTTTGCTTCCGCGAGAGGCACGGTTGTGCTTTCGCGAGAGGCACGGGCCTGCCTTTTTCGGAAAGGAAAAAAACACGTTTTTTTTTCGCGAGAGGCACGGTTTTGCTTTCGTGAGATGCACGGTTGTGCTTTCGCGAGAGGCACGGGCCTATCTCTTTCGAAATGAAAAAAAACGCGTTTTCTATTTTTTTCTTTCAATAGAGGCACGGTTTTGCTTCCGCGAGAGGCACGGTTGTGATTTCGTCAGAGGCACGGGCGTGCCTCTTTCGGAAAGGGAAAAAACCCGTGTTCCCGGTTCGGTTTTTTAGTCCGGTTTTTTCGTGAAAAAAAGTTCATTAAAACCTATCAACACGGGATCTAGTTTTGAAGATCTCGACGCGAGGAATCCAACGGTGAAAGCGGTTCAAGATTTAAACACACGGTTTAAGAGATAAAACGTTTTGAATAAACGGATCTACGAAAAAAGGGAAAACTCACAGGTTGCGACAAGTGGTGCACATGCAGCGTGCCACTTGTCGCAACTTGGGGAAGTTAGAGTGATCTCCGGAAAGAGTTCTTCTTAATTAGTGATTTCGGCTTCTTTCATGTACCCGGGACCAGAAATCATCGATATTCCGTGTGCATAATGGGCCAGAAGGCAGTGGCTAGGAAGTGGGCTGTGGAAACACGGTGTCCGCCCCAGCTCGTGCGCGTGGGCTGTGGGCACGGCTGTCTTCTTCTTTAACGCAAAATATGGACCTACAGCGGCCCAGATATGGTCCAAAGATATGTTTTAGAGAACTATATGGCTCAAACGTTTATATTCTAAAAAATATATTGGCTCAAACGTTTGGTACTAAATCTCTACACCTGCCTAAAAACATATACTGTATTACTTGTTGCTGAACTGCTATCCTTACTACCCGCAAAAAAAGAAAAAAAAGAAAAAAAACTGCTATCCTTACGTGATGGGAGTAATATACAAGTGCTTTGCTCGGCAAGAGAAGAGTCCAGAAGCATGAATGCATTGCACCATCCATCGGCAAAGAAAAAGAAGAGTTCAGAAGCATGCATGGCATGGCACTAACTCGCTCGTACAGCTCACGGTACGGTGCATCACTACGTACGCCTGACCCAGGTGGGGCGTATCTGAGACGCGACGCGTAGGCGTAGGCACCACGCTCCAGGCAATCAATGGGGTTCACGCACCGAAGCACGGGAAAGATCGACCATGTCACGGAGCTAGAGAGCCTCCTGCGGCTCGCGGCCGCCGTGCGTGACGCCTCCGCCGTTGGTCGCGTCATGGGGTTCTTGCCATGCCACTGCCTCAGTCGGTCGTCGGAGGCGCGAGCTAGCCCGTGCACGTGGACGCACGTGCGCCCGCCGCCGGCGGCCGAGGGTCGGCGGGGCCGAAACAGCGGGGCGTGCGCCCGGAGGCCGGAGCGGTTTGCTTTTGTGCCGCCGCCCAGTTTGCCTGCCCATGTGACGATCCACCGGCCACCGGCACCGTGCCGTACGCGCGCGCGTGCGTTCCGTGCCCGGAATGGGTACGCCCTTCTATGTCCACAACGGAAAGACACCTTTCGGTTGCTGCTTCCTGATGGCCGGCGTTCATTTTTTCTTTTGATTTTGAGATGGATGGCCGGCGTTCGAGACTAAAATAGTAGTGCTGTCCTGGTGCGTGCGGTGGGATGGTTATCCATTTCAGGCTTGAGAATTCGCACCGGGAAGTGGAACAAACCAGCAACCACGCCGTACGTGCAGGGCTACCGGCCGCATTTCCGTTCATCTCAAGAACTGGCCGCTATCGTGTATGTAAATCTATGTGGCAATAGAATGGTTGGAAACCGTTCTGTGGCCGAACAAGCTCATGATGTGCACAAGATGGCAAACAAGCTCGAGCTCCTTAAGTGTGTATCACAAGAACAGTTTGTTGTCAGGAGCATTGTTTCTAAGCTTGCTCCTTCGTGGAGGTACTTTTACACTTCTATGGAACACCAGAGACGAGAGGAAACAGATGAGTCTCTATGGACATTTGGAAGTTTAAAAGAAGACAAAGACAAAATACATGAGATCTATCACGAGATCATTGTGTGTCAACTACGAGCCCTACCCTTGGTTTATATAGGTAGGGGTCTAGGGTTACAACCGAGTCGGTTACGTATAAGAAAAACGTACTCTAGACGACCACTAAATGTCTTGGGAGTATTTTTTTTTTGAGAAATAGTCTTGGGAGTATATGACAAGTATTCAGGAGCCTTCCTTCTATGCGCCATGGGCCTCCTTGATATGGCCCACCGGTGAACCGCCATGGTGGGCCTCGGCCCGGCCCACCTGTCGGAGAGCTAACGTGGTCAATGGCCCCTAATCCAGGACACCGTTAGCAACCCCTAAACTGCTATTCAAGTTAAACGTCGACGCGGCGGTTTCTTGTCAGGGAGGCTATGGGGCAGTAGGAGCTATCAGTCGTGATGCAATGGACAGTTTTTTGGGAGCTTCAGTACTAGCTTTTCGACACATTGCCGATCCTCAAGTGCTTGAAACCCTGGCTGTGCGTGAGGAACTTGCCCTTTCAGATGATCTTTACCTAAGGCGTATTCATGTGGCCTCGGACTGCAAAGGTGTCATAGAAGATATCTAGAAGAAGAATGCACCCAGTTATGGAGCAATCATACATGAAATCTTAGACCACTCATCGTCTTTTGATTTTTATAAATTTAGTCATGAATTTAGGAGCTCAAACTTTGAAGCTCACAATCTTGCAAAGCATGCACTTTCTTTAGGGGGTGGCTGCCATGTCTGGTTAGGTCACCCCGGAGATCTTCCATCCGTTCCTGTAAACATTGTGATGACTTAATAAAGCTTTGCGAGTTTGTCTAAAAAAAATTCAAGTTAAAGAGGCTGCTCGGATCTTTCAAACTATTCTTTGTTTTCAATCATCGGTCTTGAAAATCGGTTCAATAATTCTCCTCATATCCAACTTCTTGATCGTTTAAGCGTGTCCGAAGAGTTTCTATGCTCGGCTTTATTT